CAAAGTTATCAGAGGAGTAAGTAAAAAATGTCAGTGTGTCAAGAGATTCTGGCACATGCTACTGTGGAATGGTACTATAAAGAATTAGGATTGGGGATATCATGAAAACAAGCTTTGGAGTGTGACAAATGTTTGCTATTATCACTAACTGTTCTGGCACAAATTAGTAAGATCTCTAGGTCTCAGTTTCCTCATCTATAAAATAAGGATAGTACAGCCTCAAATGAACATAATTTAAATCATGTAATATAGCAGAGACTCTAGTATTCAATCCTAATTCTTTTATTATTTTTTCCTTCAAAAGTTAATTTGTAGTATGTTTGGCTTTTAAAATTTGCCTTTTAGATTCTTTTAAGATATTGCATGGCAGTTGTACCACTTATAACATGATCAATAGAGGTAAAATATTATCCCACTGAAGTACTAATCAAAGCAAGAGTTTGTTCGTAGCCCTAACCTCTCACAACTTAGTCTCAAATACCAGAAAACCTTTCAAACATAAGTATACCTTTACCGAACTTTCCCTGTGAGATAACAGAAGAAAACTCAGAAAATGGGAAGTTAGCTGTACCTGACTCCTGCAGTATACGAGATAAAAAAGTAGTACTATCAGATTCATCGAATCGGGTTGTCATGCTAGGGTCCACTTAATATCTTAAGCTGTCTTTACACAGAACACCAAACATTAATAACAAACGAATTTAAATTAAGTTATCAGAACCAAGTGTATTTACCTTTGTAAGTCTTAAAATACGGTTCAATCGTATCCAGATCCCAAAATATAATTTGGAACTATAGGCTTAGTTGTAAATAACCTTAATGCTACCTGATTATACTAAGTTGAGAGTAATTTTTTCTAATTTGCTTACTGATAAACTGTTACCCTGTTTCCCCCAAAATAAGACAGTGTCTTATATTAATTTTTGCTCCCAAAGATGCGCTAGGTCTCATTTTCAGGGGATGTCTTATTTTTCCATGAAGAAGAATACGGTACACATTTATTGTTAAATGAAAATAAAGGAAATTTATTACCTGTATACGGTACGGTAGTACGGTAGTTGTCAACACAAACCAGACAAACTGTGAATCCTACAGTATCAAGAATTTACTCATTTATTCAATGACAATCATGTCATCATCTTCTGGAACATCATCATAACAATCCAATTCCTGAATTTCCTGGTGAATTTCTTGTGGCTCCATTTCTTTCAGAATCAGTGGACCAAATCTCTCATGTTTAGTAATAGCATTCTGAGACAGAGCCTAGGGGGGGCCTTATTTTCGGGGGATGCCTTATATTTCACTCAGAAGGAAACCTGTAAGTAGGTCTTATTTTTGGAGGATGTTTTATTTTCGGGGAAACACGGTAGTTTATTTTCTTAATTTTCATTATGTGGCAAACCTGTCTCTCCCTTGAACTTTATGGAACAGTTACATTTCAACAGAATATATAATAGTCATAAATTCTAAATCCTTTCATTGTATTTACTTAACTGTTTTTGGTAAATGGCTTTAAGATCCAAATTTGGACAAAATGTAGCAGCAACCCAGAAATCCCTCATTTGAGTAATTTTACCTTCTATAAAATATATTAACATGTTAAGCTCCCAGGATGTTTTGTCTTCTGGACTGAAAGTATAGTGTCAGTCACTGGTGAATGACTGGGCACTTACCATCATGCCTCCACTATTAACAATTTAATAATTTTAAGATAGTTTTAGAGTTAGTACTTGTTTATCCTTATAGAAATAATTTCAGAAATTTGTCCTAGGATATAATAGTGTAGCAAAGAAATTATTATAGTACTAGTAAACTAGTTCTGTTTCCACATTAGTTTATAAAAGTTTTTATATCATTTAAGGCATCTGAGTATTATACTAAAAATTGTTTAATATATCCTTTTCTCATTGAAATAAAGGACAATGATTTGAGAACTCTCCCAAGGACATTGCCATTTATGACATAATGAAATCCAGTAATAAAATGTCTTTCTGTATATAACTTACCTTCTTGTTTTACTTGTATTTTTTTGAGAATCATTAGTTTTGATTTTATATTCTTGCCTTTAGTGGGATGAAGCACTCTTGACTATGAGTAAAGGAGAAAAGGCTCGACTAGAAATTGAACCAGAATGGGCTTATGGGAAGAAAGGACAGCCTGATGCCAAGTATCCTTTTTCCTTTGTAATTAAAGGAAAAACACTAAAAAGGATCACCTGAAGGTATGAAAGATGCTATGCTATCCAGGTTAACCTCTGTGTCAGAGATCCTATTCAGATTGGAATTCCTTACAGTTAGATGCTTTTGTGTCAACACCTCCAATACTAGAGGTCTGGTACACAAATTCATGCACAGGTGGGGTCCCTCTCTGGCCAGCAGAGATGGGGCTGAAACCCTCAGTCCAACGCTGCTTGCAGTTCCTGCCTGCCTCTCCCACTTATCCTATCTCCACTGGGCATGCCAGAGGCTCACGTCCCATCAGTTACCACCAGGAAAGGCTTATACTGCAACAGCAGTGCTTGCCAGCCACAAGTCCTATGGCTGGCTCCCTCCCAAGGGAGTGAGTGGCCTGCAGGATGAGCCTGAAACCAGCTGACATCCCAGAAGAGGTTGCAAGAGGGCACAGGCCAGGCTGAGGGATCCCACCAGTGCACAATCAGGGCAGGGAGAGACCTAGGGAGGGCTCCAGGGCATGTCTGGCCCCTCTCACTCAGTCCTGAGGTGATGTACCCCAGCAGCAAGTAGGTTACTACTGCCCCCTGGTGGTCAGTGCACATCATAGCAAGCAGTTGAGCAGCCATAGCATGTCATTAGCATGCTATGCTTTGATTGGTTGTTCAGTTCAATTTGCATATTACCCTTTTATGATACTGGATTATGTATTGGTATATAGTATTCAAACCTGAGCTGGAATCTCCTTTCTTCCTCTTACTCATGCTCTTAGTTTTTAAGACAAACTGAGGTTTAAATTTTCCTTTGTGACAGGCAGTTGCCTGAAGGAGTTAATTACTTTACCGAGTTAAGTTGCCCAACACAAACAATAGCATACTGTAGAATGCAGATGTGTCTCATGGTAGTTTTGCTACAGTGTAATTTCAGACAATTATAAAAATGGAACACATGTTGGGGATTACCAGTTATAAAATGAAGAACAGAGTTCCAAATACTATAAGCTTTTGTGATCAATACTAATGACAGTAACTTTTTTTTAACTTTTTTCTTATTGGGAAAAAAAAAAAAAAAGCCAACTCCAGACCACTCTACCAGAACTCAGTTGATACGAATAGCTAAGTGGGAAGGTAGTTTTTTTTTCTGTTGTTGGTTCCATTCACATTGTACTAGAGCAGTGGTTGGCAACCTCATTAGTCACAGAGCTAAATATCAATAGTATAATGATTCAAATTTCTTTTGAGAGCCAAATTTTTTAAACTTAAACTTCTAATGCCACTTCTTCAAAATAGACTCGCCCTGGTATAATATTTTGTGGAAGAGCCACTCAAGGAGCCAAAGAACCGCATGTGGCCTGTGAGCCACAGTTTGCCAACCACTGTCCTAGAGTAAATTTGGAAAAAGATTTTGGAAGTCCTCTCTAATGTTATTAAAATTATCTGGAAATATAACTCAATCTACTAAGCCTATCAAAATGAGTTGGCTAGCTGAAGCGCTCTGAGAAGCATGTTAAGATCAATCAGATAAAAGTAACACTCTTCTCTAAACTCAGCATTTTAAAACTCACAGCAAAAATCAGGTACTACCTCATATGAGCTTTGACTTTATACCCAGCTAGGTTGGGGGAATTTTTTCTTCAGTACTGAATAACAGCAGTCTTCATTAAGTGGTTGCTAATTTGGGAGTACTAGTTAGGTTTCCAGATAAGGAATAGCCCAGCCAAGCTAAAGCGTAGTCTATAATCTGTATTTACAAAGATCTATTAGGAACCACTGTGCTGGGAATGTATTAGCCTCTGAATCAGCTGCAAAGCCCTTTTCTTTGTAGTTAATTGCCAGTATCCAGTATACATAATTTTAATTAGACTAAAATTATTGGGAATGAGAAGCAATTTTATCCTATTTACCTTAACTTCTTCAACAGAATCCCACCAAATGCAAAACTCATTTTTGAAGTGGAGTTAGTGGATATTGATTGAAATAGCAATGCTTCTGATCTAAAGACAGCAATAGCCTTGAAGAAAGTTACGTAACTCATTACAGCTCGTTATTATTGTAATGGAAATGAACTGGGAAATTCAAGGACTTATGTTAGAACTTGTTTACTTTTTCCCCCAAATTAAGAAATGTACTGTTGTAAATCCCTGAAGTTTAAAATATTTTACTACAGCTGTGTAAAATACTTCTTAAGAATTTTTCCTTTTACCTCATGTTGTAAACTAAAAGGCTCAATAAAAATGTACCCAATGACCTGATTTGTTTGGTGTTAATATTAATGTTCTGATTAGGCTGACTAGGACTAAGACTTCATTAAACCAGGGAGCAGCAAATTGTCTAGATAGCTTTCACAGAGACATTCATTTAAAATATTTAAATATTTCTGTATAGTGAGAAGAAGCAGAGATTGAGAGGGATGAAAAAGATAAAAAGTCAAAGAAATTCTGACAAGAAGATTAATAGCTGAATATAACCGTTTTATATAAAGTCAATACTAGGTAATCCCTCTAAATAAATTCATAACAATTGGTGGATGAAGCTTCAGTTTTATTACAAAAATGTAGATGGTCAGTTTGATCAAAATGAAAGCTTGTTCACAAATTTACATGAATATTGTAATTACAAAGTCTTCTGAAACATAAGTTGATACAATTTTCATTTTTTTAAAGGGATGCAAACATTCGATTCTCTGACTTGTAATCTCTATGCCATGACATACTGTTTTAATAGTGTATCTTTTCTGCCGTTAAATCCAAATTCATAGGGATAACTGAAACACACAGACCAAGCCTGGTCAGTAAAGGTTAAAAATACTTTTTTTTTTGTGTGTGTGTGGGGTTTGTTTTTGTTTTTTCTCTTTTTACAGAGAGGTAAATCCTTAATAACCAGCCCTTTACATATTTTCAGAATCTTGTACTACACTGACATGATTTGCAGTCAGTTTTTTTCCTACCCTTAAGGCTACAAAACTCTGTTGCAAATGCATTGCAAAAGAATTCTAGACCACTTAATGCAAAAATCAAAAAAATAGTTCTCCAATAAAAAGTAAACTTTATAAATGGTAGGAAATAGTATCTGTGGTAAGCTACTAAGTGACATTTTCCCTAATACTAAACAAATCATATGTTACACAAACGGGAAGACAAGTTGTCAAATATGACAAGCTTATGTTTACATCTCTTGTTGAAAAAAAATAACTTTATACTTTCCACACACTCCATCTGATATTTATATTTTCCCATCAAGTTGGAGGGGGAGGATAATACTGTCCATAATTCCAAGGATTCTGGTAATTGTACTGAAAGGGAAAAGCAAACATGTTAGCATACCAGAACTATGGCTGAGCTCATACAAAATTAAAGCAGATATGTGTAAGAAAACAGACATGTATTCATTGTTGAAATTCTAAGACAACCAACCACAAAGGATAATGTATTATACCATCTGAAACAGAAGACCTGTTTTTTTTCCTAAAATAGAAAAGATTGCCCTAATTTATGCTTTTCTAATAACATATGAACAAAAAATGTAAACTCACTTGATACCAAGCACTATAATTATATGCAGCTTGATTTGCTTGTAAATCACCATCAATCAACTGCGTAGAGGATGAAATTGTATCTTCTGTGTGGGCTTTTTTTTCCTCTGGTTCTTCTGATCTACATAAAAGGTCAAACGAACTTTTAACAGCTCTTACAATAAGTAACAAATAGATAAATGTTACCTATGTACATTTATTTTACGGAAGTTCTCTACCACTTGGAGTTGTAAACAATTTTTCAAATCATGAAAATAAAGTATCTAAATTACCACAATATAAAGGAAACTATTTAAAAGTATATATATTTATTAATTTCACAGAGGGAGAAAGAGAAAGAAACATCAATAATGAGAATCAATCTGCTACCTCCTACATGCCCCATACCGGGGAATAAGCCCACAAACTGGGCATGTGCCCTGATGGGGAACTGAACCATGACCTGATTCATAGGTCAATGTTCAACCACTGAGCCACACTGGCCTGGCAAAGGTAATATTTAAAAATATTTGTCTTCTCTGTTCATTCCTGTCAAAAAATCAAACATATCCTCGGGTGAGGATAAATTACATATATTTTTCTTTAAAGGTATTTCCACAATGAAAAATATCTTTTAAACATCCTTCCCTGATTCAACAAATATGTACATACCCATTTTCTGCTTTCCTTTTCAAAGAATCCTGTTCTTTTAGGAGTGTTTGATGCTCATCATAAGCATGCAGAAGCCTGAGAGGGAATAAAAAAATCCATTGAAATATACAAAACCCAAAACATTAATTTTTAAAAGTTACTTATCTCTACTTAGGAAAACAAAATATGTTGCAATGGACATCCTTTTTATTTTTTTTATTTATTTATTTATTTATTTAATCTAGCAGCCAAATCTGTCCTCAACTACCTTTTTTAAAATCTATTTCCTTTGCGAAACCATTGCCCTGTACTTTCCTTTTCACTCTATGTGGTTCAAAGATATAGGCCTGGCTAGTAACATTATACTGCTGAACCAATTAATGGTTTAGAGATGAGAATATGATCCAAAGCAGGAGTTGCAAAATTCTTTATGAGCTACTGGAAAAATATTTTGTGTACTACAGTTGTCTAAAGCTGAAGGGATGCTGGCCAAGCTTATAATTTCTAATACGTAAGGAGAACCTGCCTTCGAATCTACAACACAACTAAGACAAGGATCTTGATGTTTTTGTAGGGGTGTCGAACTCAATCAGAGAAGGGGCCAAAATCTAAAATCCAGCCTAAATCGCGGGCCGAATGGTTTACTGAACAGTCATAAACTGTCATTGTGATGGAAACGCAGCGGAGTGCAGTGATGACAGCGCGGTGCAGGCCACATTGCAAGGCCTGGCGGGACGGATTTGGCCCGCGGGCCTTGTGTTTGACACATGTGGTCTAGAGCAACACGAGACCTGACAATTCTACAATTTGTATTCTTTTGAATCTAATTTAACAATGCTATTGAAGACACCTGCATTTAGAATAAAATGCTTTAAAATTTGGCCATGTGATAAACTGAATTAGAACTATACAGTATATTAGGTCTAGTAATAATTAATGTCGTTTTCTAATACTTTTTTAAATCGAATTTATTTAAACAATACAACAAAATTTAATCAACAATATAGTTGCCGTTGTTTTCTACTACTTGTGCCCAATGCTCAGGAAGCATTTTAATCCCTCTGTTGTAAAATTCTTGTGATTTTGATGCAAAAAATTTGGTCAATGCATTTTTGAGGCATTCTTCATTATTAAATTTTTTTCCAAGAAGAGTTTTTCAAAGAACGAAACAAATGGTAATCGGAAGGGGCAATATCAGGAGAATATGCAGGTTGAGGGAGAACTTCCCATTCCAACTGGCGCAGTTTTTCAGCAGTGATTCTTGCAGTATGCGGTCGTGCGTTATCGTGGTGAAGAATTACGCCCTTCCGATTAATCAGCGCGGGTTCTTTTTCTCTTAAAGCTTGGGCTAACCTTTCCAATTGGGCACTATACACTGCCCTTGTAATGGTTTGGTTAGATGGTAAAAGTTCATAATGAAGAATTCCTTTAAAATTCCACCAAACACACATCACTTTTTTCGCATGCAAGTCAGGTTTTGGCGTGGGCTGCAGAGCCTCATTTTTGTCCAACCATTGAGGCCGCCTTTTCAAATTAACATACAGCACCCATTTTTCATCTCCGGTAACAATTTGCTCTAAAAACGGCAAACGGTTTTGACGAGAGAGGAGTGAACTGCAAATTGTGACTCTTTGATTACGGTTGTTGTCGGTCAACTCATGAGGAACCCATTTTCCAAACTTTTGGACTTTGCCAAGTGCATGCAATTGATTGGAAATTGTTTTTTGTGAACAATTTAAAGTTGTCGCAAACTCTTGTTGGGTAATTTGAGGATTTTGCACCAAAAGAGCTTGAAGAGCTTCTTGATCAAAATTGGACACACGGCCTCGACCACTCTTGTCATCTAACGAAAAATTTCCCTCGCAAAATTTCTCAAACCAACACTGGCATTTTCTGGCGCTAACTGCATCTTGACCAAGAGCACTACAGATGTTTTTTGCAGCATCACTTGCTTTTCTTCCTAATTGGAACTCGTAAAGCATGCAGTGCCGAATATGCTCTTCATCCGCCATCTTCTTAGCCCTAGTTTTACAACAAAAACCAAACCAAACACAAACTTTTTCAAGCAAAACTTGTTAATTGCACTTCACACGTTCTGTAGATACCACATGTTTGAAGGTTATGTCAATACAAGTCAACGCCAAGCAAGATTTTAAACGAATGTTTAAAAACGACATTAATTATTATTAGACCCAATAATTGGTTACCACTGATTAAAAAGTTAAGTTTTCACAAAATTCTGATGTGACATATGTAAAATTGTTAATACCAGTAATCTCAGGTTAAATGTTTACTCATTTTCAAGCACTTTAAATGGACTAATTTCCTTAAGGCCTTTAACAACCAGTGGGTTAGGTGATAGACTCAACCTCCATAGAAAAAGTTTGAAAATAGGAATACATAAATCAGTAAGTGACAGGGCTAGGATTTAAGCCTGTATTTTTCAGTCTGCAACATTAATTCTTACCAGTTCAATATATTGCTACTTAAATTTTTAAATGGTTCATTTACTTTTCACATTATATCTTTAAAAAATTTTTAACAACCTATTTCCCAATACTAAAGGTCCTACTTAGTAAGTGTATTTGCAAGGACCTAATTGGCATATTTGTATTGAGCTTCTTATTTGTCTGCATATTATTACCAAATTAAAATTTAATGTCAATAAAACCACTAATAGTTTCCTGTCAGTTGTGTATTCTATGTTCTCTGAACTCAGACTAGCTTTCAAAGCACAGAACAATCAATATCACTTCTACTACTCCAGAAAACCCTCCAATTGAGCTGATGTTATTTGAATAAAAATTTTAACTTGCTTTTACATTTTATCTTCTCCTCAGCTTATCAGTATCCAGTAGTTAATTAAGCCCTACCTCCCCTATGAAGGATGATAAGTTCATTCTGATTCAGAGCTTAGAAGTTATATGTTACCTCATACACATGTATATCCTCTGATCACCATCCCATCCAACTGGACTAAAAGCTAGAATTACACATGCTATTTTTTATTTAATTTTTTTTTCAGTGCAAAACAAGACATTACTACAGAGGATATGAGGTGCTTAACAGTACAATGAAGTACATTCTAAATCCAGGTGGGATGATAACTAATCCCAGATGCACTATGAAATAGCTAAGTGATCTTTCTTTAAACCCCTTTCCATCCATTAAAAGAATAAGAAGTACCTATACCCCTTATCAGATTGCTATGTATTTTACATTAGGTAATTCTTATAAAACAATTAAAGCTAAGCACATATATACTAATGTATTAAATGATTTAGTTTAAAATTTTATTAAGCGATCAAGGATGTATACACACACGTGTAAATACAGACACAAAACTAATTCTTATTTTATCAACAGCTATTTCAAAGGACTCTAAATTAAAATAATTAGGGAAGGCACATGTCTAACAGGAACTGGGATATTTCCTTACTAGAATCATGTAAGAATGGAATCATAGCAATACTCGAATAAAGTTCTACTCTTTTATTTTGCAAGTTTAAATCTTAAACTTGTCACTTTCCCAAGTCCCCTAGAGTGAATCCCTGTACCATCCTCAGCTTTCCGCCTTTTACACACGGATGAAGCCATTAGGATCATGTGCAGAGTCTGTCCTTTCCAATCTGAAATACAATAGCATTCTTCCAGGCTAATCCACCCACCTTTAGGGGCTATATACCAAATATTTATGTGTTTCAAGGTTCAAGCCTTAATCCATTTCCTTTCTCGAGGCCTTGCTGCTTCCTGCCTTCCCTCATCCACTCATTGTTTAAATTACCATGCTAAAATTCTTAGAATAGTTTACAAAGAAGTAAAACCATCTGTCCTATGATTAAGCACATATATACATTTGCAAAACTAAATTTACCCCAGATATACCTGATGAAAAAGTAACCTAGGCAAACATTTTAAATTTAATACATTAATTTGTACTAATCATCAAATTCCCAACCCAAACTATCAATGCTCATTTACTATTCAAATAGATAATATATGATTAAGATCTTACTTATTAACATCTGAACCAAAATCTTCAAGAAATTCCACTTTTCTTTGAGAAAATGTAATTCTCATTTTAACAGGTAATGAACCATGTATAGCTTTGTCAAAACAATTTAGGATATTTTCTTCATTTTGTTTGAGGTCACCACTATATTCCATTTCAAGTAAATTGAGGTATAACTTTGTGTTTTCCTGTGTAAAAAGTAGTGTCGTTAATAATATTTCTAAGATATTTTTATTAGACCACAGATATTTAAAATGCCCTAATTTTAATGTCTCAATTTGAAAAATTTAATATTGAAAATTATATATTAAAATGTAACTCGTGTTATTTTCAGCATTCACTGAATAAAAACTAGCAAATCATCCTAGTATATCCTATACAATATGTAAATTGTTCAGTGGCAATAAATTAAAAGTCCTATATCCTATCTTGAGTTTAATGTGGCTTGACTTACCATAACAAATATAAACTAAAACATAAAAGAATGACCTCTGTACTGCTCAGTAAATTAAATCTTTACAACTGTAGATAATTATCTTAAACAGCAAGAAGCAAACAGTTATAAAACCTGTCTTATACAGACTTGGGATCAGCTAAAAATGTAAAATATGAGCTATTTCCAATACTCTGCCTCCTATCAATTGATATATAAAAAGAAATACTTTGGAAAAGGAGAATAATCTCACTGCCACATTTTTTGTAGAGTAGATAACTGCCATGCTTTTTTTCTCTGAAGATCCTCTAATTAATAATCAATAAATCTGCTATACAATTTCAAATTGGAGAAAATAGAATGTAGCAATGTCTGCAACCTTTTAATTGATAACTTAATTTTTTTTTTTAAAGAATGGCAACATCAGTTTAGAGGGACTGTTGTCTTCATTTAGTAATTAAATATATTACATACAGACCAAATCTTTCATCATAGTTGCCAAAATGAAAATTAAAAAACAAAACAAAAAAAATGACCACTGGTTTTTTATGGAAGATATTCCAAAAACACAAATATTACATACTTTGTCTCTTTCAATTGCTTCCAAAAGCACCTTTTTTGATTTTGCGAAGTTTTTTTGTATTTTGAAAAGATGCCGAGCTAGTTTAATAGCATAAAACGATGATTCATTATTCGATTTGGCATTCTTAATAGCATCTTGAAGCAAATGTTCAGCTTCTTCCATATTTCCATGTCGTCGTTCTAAGCTTACTCTTCTCAGACGAACCATTGCCAATCCTAGAACACATTCTTCAAATGCTCTCAAGATATTCCTGGCTTCATTAATATTACCTAGAAATAATAATTAAATATTTATGCTTTGTTTAAACTTTTGAAATATCCTTTAAGCCAGGTATTGCCAAGTAACCGCCCATAAACTAAATCCGGCCTTCTGCCTCCTAACGTTTCTTTTTTTAATTGAAAAAAAAATTTTTTTCTTTTGAAATAGAAATATCTATGATGACAGAATCACTGTTGGCTGCCTCCTGCACACCACCCACTGGGAATGGAACCTGAAACCAGGAATTGAACTGTGACCTGATTCACAGGTTGATGATCAATCTCTGAATCATACCAATTGGGCTGCCTGTTTTTAATTTTTAAAAACTGGTACAGACACTTTTGTTCATGTATTATCTACAACTGCTTCTGGGCTAGAATGGCAGAGTTTTGAGGGGGAAAAAAAAAGCCATACAGCCTGCAAAGTGTAAAGTATTTAGTATTTAGCCCTTTACAGAAAAATTTTACTGGCATTTGCTTTAAAATATCCCTTAACATTCAATTCCTGTATCTTCATCCAGAAATAAAATCCCCCAAAATATCAACTATTTCCTCATTCTTACCCTGCTGTTCCTCAAAAGCTGCCCAAAGCATATGCACCACAGGTTTCTTTGGGAGATGAATAGTGCAAGCTCTGCTGAAGACATGCCTCACTCCTTCAATGCTATGGTTTTCCATGTACTTGGCATACTACATATAGAACAGAGGAAATACTGAATAATTTACAGTTGAACCAGCCATTAAATATGTGACAGAACGATAAAATTCTATTTTTAAACCCATTCAGCACCTTTATTGAACCACTAGACTAGTTTCTGTAAGGAAGGACGAAGAGAGGCAACGAGGTTGGCATATGCAGCAGTCAAATCTGGTTGCAAGCAGACCATCTCCTAATGCAACAGATATAGTTATATGAACAACATTCAACAGAAGTACAAAAAAGGTTAGTCACTAGTCAAAGTTTATAATTATTCAAGTTTTAAAGCATAAAATTTTCTTACCTTAATCCAAAACTCCTCATAGAGGGCACATGATATGACACATCTTTCAAAGAGAACCACAACTCGTTCATGAGTCCCATTTTCAATTTCAAATTCTAAGTATTCTTTCCAGTTTTTTAGTTGTGCCTTTTCCAATGGTTTCACATGAAAATAAGGTCTTTTAATCTGCAATAAAGTGACATGGCAATAAAAGTCAACCAACACCAAAAAAAAAAAAAAAAAATTTCCTGAGAAACCAAGATGGCGGCATAAGGTAAACATCTATACCACTGCCTTGCACAATTTTAAAACTGCAATTGGAAGACAGAGTGGACATCGTTCAGAACCACCAAAAAGCTGGGTGAGTGGAAATTCTACAACTAGAAGGAAAGGGAAAAGGGCACAGACTCAGGAGCTGTGAAGGTGTGCAGACCCATGCGCGTGGAAAGGGCAGGCGCCTGAATATGCTGCTGGCTTACTCGCAGCTCATGGAGAGGGCAGGCAGCAAACTCGTGCCTAGCTTTCTCGTTCAGGAAGAAAACAAAACCTCCCGACTGCACTGAAATCCAGCTCCAGGTGAGACTTTGTGTGTCAGACTCAATTGGGGAGAAACTGGACTGTCTGACAGCGGGCAAAACTCGAGAGCAGCCTTCTCTCAGAGGTGCGTGCAGCCATTGCCGTGGGACACTGAGAACAGGGACCTCTTAGGGCAGGGCTGACGGGAAAGCAAGGCTGTCTGCTCCACCCTGAAACTCTGCCCCATCCAAGCTGAACACAGAAGCACTCCTAGTGGAGACACTGCTGCTCCTGACAGCCAAGTGGCCTAGAGGTCAACTCCCCAAGTGATACCAACAACAATCAAGGCTTAACTAACAACGAGATTGTATACACAGCCCACAAAGGGGTGCACCAACAGCGTCTACCTTAGGTAACTGGGGAGGCTGAGCTACTGGGCCCTCTAGGACACCTAGCACACAAAGCCACTCGATCAACTCAGGGAAGCAGCTAAAATGTGGAGACAAAAAAACAGGTCACAAATGAAAGAAATGGATGAAAGAAAACACTGGGTATAGAGTTCAAAACCACGGTTATAAGGTTACTCAAGAATCTTCTAGAAACAGTTGATAAATTTAGTGAGACCCTCAAGGATATGAAAAAGGACCAACTAAAAATTAAGCATGCATTAACTGAAATAAGAAATATTATACAGAGACCTAAAAAGCAGACCAGAGGATCACAAGAATCAAGTCAAAAATTTTGGAATACCAAGAAGCAAAAAACACTCCTCCAGAAAAGCAAAAAGCAAAAAAAATAATCCAAAAAGTTAAAGATAGTGTAAGAAGTCTCTGGGACAATTTCAAGCATACCAACATCAGAATTATGGGGGTCCCAGAAAAGGCAAGAGAACAAGATACTGAAAACCTACTTGAAGAAATAGTGACAGAAATCTTGAAAGAAATAGACTTACAAGTCCAAAAAGGGCACGGAACCCCCCAAAAAAGGAATCCAAAGAGGACCACACCAAGACACATAATAATTAAAATGCCAAGAGCAAAAGACAAAGAGAGAATATTAAAAGCAGCAAGAGAAAAACAGTTAGTTACCTACAAGGGAGCACTCATATGACTGTCAGCTGATTTCTCAACAGAAACTATGCAGGCCAGACGGGATTGGCAAGAAATATTCAAAGTGATGAACAGCAAGAAACTACAATCAAGATATTACTCTACCATTCTACCCAGCAAAGCTATCATTCAGAATTGAAGGGCAGATAAAGAGCTTCACAGATAAGAAAAAGCTAAAGGAGTTCATCACCGCCAAACTAGAATTATATGAAATGCTAAAGAATGAAACGATCACCAACTTACACCATACACAAAAATAAACTCAAAATGGATACAGGACTTAAACATCAGTCGGGAAACCATAAAAATACTAGAAGCATCCACAGGCAGCAAAATCTCAGATGTATGCCAAAAGAACTTCTTCACTGATACTGCCCCTACAGCAATGGAAGCTAAAGAGAAAATAAACAAATGGGACTACATCAAAATGAAATGCTGAAAGGTATTCTTAAAGAAGAAAAAGAGAAAAGAGAAAAACTATAAACAACAAATACGTATCTGTCAACAAGTGAATCTAAAAACCAAGGGAATAAAAAATATGATTAACAGTATTAACTGGTGATTATAATAGATCAGGGGCATAGAAAGGGAGTGGACTGACAATTCTCGAGGAAAAAAGGAGTGGGGGGTGTAGGAAGAGACTGAACAAAAAGCATACACTATGGATGAAGACAGTGTGTGTGGGGGTAAAGGCAAAGAGTGGGATAGGAACCTGGTGGAGGAGCTATGGGGGGGGGGGGGGAGAAGAGGAACAATTGTAATAACCTGAACAATGAAGATTTATTAAATTAAAAACAAATAAGTAAATAAATAATAAAAAGATAAAAAATAAACCAACACCAAAATATGTATGTCTACAATAACGTTAATTTCTGTTTTTTTAATTACTGATTTAATAATCATCTCATGACTTAATTTTTTTTTTTTTTTTAATTAGAGGCCTTTAAATTCCTTAGGCTTTACAAACAGAAGAAATAGACTGTTTTTTCCATTTATTTAGTTACTAGGGGCCCAATGCATGAAATTCGTGCACGGGTAGGGTCCCTAGGCCTGACCAGCAATCAGGGCCAATCTGTGGGACAACCAGAGGGGCGACCAAGGTCCCCACTGGCACTAGCCTTCGCTGGCCTGGTGCCACCCGCTTACTAGCAATGTCCTCTGGTGCCACCAAGGCTCACCTCCTGCAGTGAGAAGTTACTGGCAGGGTGGTCAGGGGACCTCCTCACTGGCACCCACCTTGGCTGGCTTGGCACCTGTGGGCTGGAGACAGCTCCTGCATTGAGTGTCTACCCCTGGTGGTCAGTGTGTGTGTGTCATAGCAAATGCTCGTTCTGCAGGTTGGTCATTTACATATTAGGCTTTTATTATATAGGATTTTAACAGAACTTCACAATTTTTTTTTTATATTCAGAAAATCTTATTCTTTGATTATTTTTAATTGAACAATTACTCCTTCAGAACAGAAAGAAAATCAGTGGCTGCCTGGGCTTAGGAGTGGGATGGGGGTTCCTGCCTAGAAAGTGGCCAACGGGATCTCTGGGATGAAAGAAGAGTTCTATATCCTGATTTTGTGGTGACTGTAATGCAGACATCTGACAAAAATCATTTTACCAGCCAGTCACAAAAAAACATACTGTTGGCTCTCCACATCCAAGGATTTGCATCCATGGATTTAACCAACCACAGATTGAAAGAATAAAATAAATAAATAAAAAATCCTAGCAAATCCCAAAAAGTGAAACTTGAATTTGCCACACTCCAAGCACTATGATGAATCCACAGGAATAAAGTGATATGTAGGCATACCCTGTTGTATCCTATATGCAAATACTGCACCACTTTATATAAGAAACTTGAGCACCCAAGGATTTCGATGCCTGCAGGGGTCCTAGAACCAATCCTCTGAGGACATGGATACTGCACTATATGATTTAACTCATACAAAAGGCCAGAACAGGAAAATCTATGAAACAGAAAGTAGATTAGCAGTACTTTAGGGCCGGGGCTGAGGTTGGGTGGTATCATGCAAGTAAAGGAATAGAGGGTTGAGAGCTATGGATAGAAAGTGTTTCTTTTTGAGGTGAAAAAAAAGTTCTAAAATTAACTGTAGTGCCTTGGTTCATGTGGCTCAGTTGGTTAGAGCATCCCATACACAGAAAGGGTCATGTTCATGAGGCAACCAATCGATGTTTCTCTCTCACATTTATGTCTGTCGGTCTCTCAAATCAATTTAAATTTTTTTTAAAAAACGACTGCAGTTACAGTTGTAGTTTTCTGTGAATATATTATGAACTATTAAATTATATAAGTTAAATGAATAAACAATATAATATGGGGATTATCCTATCTAGTAAAGGAATATGCTAATTGACCATCACTCAATCACAAAGATGGCTATACCCATAGCTGAAGCCAAGTTCCCATAAGGAGCCTTAACAAGCAATCAGCAGGAACTGAGTCCACGCCCTCCCCTGCCCCAGAAGGGCTGGACCGGGGACCTCAGGCCATGTCCCCTGCCCCGGCACCAGGCCAGGTGTCCTGAGGCCATGCCCCCAAGGTGCACCCCCAGTGCTTGGTTGGGGGACCCGAGGCCGTGCCCCCTGCCCGGCAGGGCTTGATGGGGAACCTCAAGGTACGCTTCCTGTCCTGAGGCTAGGCTAGGGGACCTGAGGCTCGTTCCCTGCCCAGGGAGGCTTGCCATAGGTGGGACTGGCCAGGTCTGGATCTAGCCCAAAGGGGGCGGAGGCGGGCCAAGTCTCACACAATTTTGAGGCACATGTAGGTGGGTGGGACTTGACTCCGAGTCCCATGGTGAGCCCCAAACTTAGACAGGAGGTAGTTTTTCATATACATTTTACTAATTTTCTTTCATCTGACACTTCTATTATAGAGAAAGGGCAAACAGTAATATTAAACTATTTCCTCTAATTAGTCCCCTTTTAATGTGCACAAATTTCCTGCACCGGGCCACTAGTATATTAATAAAGCTGTTAAAAAATAAAAAATTAGATTTTGAAAAAAACCCTCATTTCACTGAACATAAAAAATGGGTGTATTTTTCTACATGTGAAATATAACTCAGAGTGTTGTCCTGTACACTGAAGGGTCACACAGATTTGATTCCCCATCAGGTAACATACCCCTGGTAGGGTTCATATGAGAGGCAACTGACTCATGATTTTCTCTCTCTCCCTTGGGTAAGAATTGAAAAAAAAACATCCTTCGGTAAGGATTGAAAAAAAATGGAATAATTCTCAAAAGTATGATTCAGATTAAAAAAAATATATCTATAAGCCTGAATTTAATAAGATTCTAAAATTGATCATGGAAAATGATAAAATTTATAATGATAGCAACAAAGGGGAAGAATGCCTTATTATTAAGCAAATATAAAGAAAAAGGAGCAGTATAGACATTATTTGAAACTGAAAAATATATTATTGCTATACTTTAAAGACCATTACAAAGAAAAAATACTTACACCTTCTTCAAATGTCCACCTTTTACTAACTTCATGCTCATTATAATTAAACATTTCTTGATGAATTTCAATTATTCTGTGCCTCATGTTTTCTATTTCAGTAATTAGCTTGGAAAGAAAAATAAATTTTAAAAAAATTATACAAGTTATATAATGAAATTTTAAAATATCACTACTTACATTTAGTATTATCCACACATACTTAGTCTTAGAATACGGTTAGGTTTAAACTGTCACTCAATTTTGAGCAAGTACAATGAACACTATTAAAATTTGTAACAATTTCCCAACAAAATATTTCCTGTTATGTTTTTTAAATAGAAGCCCAGTGCACAAAATTCACACATGGGGGGTGAGGGGAGAGGAGGTGGGAGAGGGATTCTCACCTGGCCTGCACTCTATCCAATCTGGGACCCCTCAGCAGATGTCGGACTACTGGTTTAGGCCCCATCCCAAACAGCAATCAGATATCCCTTTCACAATCTGGAACCGCTGGCTCCTAACCGCTCACCTGCCGCCCTGGTTGCCCCCTAACTGTCTGGAAGTCAGACATTTGAAAAATGTCCAGTGGACCCAGTCTAATTAGCATATCACCCTTTTATTAGTATACATATGGCTAGTACATCACAATGTAGGCAAAATATTCCTTCTAAACTTATTTCCAGATGTCTCATAGTAAACCATACCAGCTAAAGAACTCCAGTTATCTTAATCAGAAATTAACTTTATATGAGCTACAAGTCCTACAACACATATAGTAAAGGGATATTCAAGTTTACTTTCTCATGCTTAAAGGATTTTTTCTTATGTATTTTATTGATTTTTTACAGAGAGGAAGGGAGAGGGACAGAGTTAGAAACATCGATCAGCTGCCTCCTGACATTCCCCACTGGGGTTGTGCCCACGACCAAGGTAGATGCCCCTGACTGGAATCGAACCAGGGACACTTCAGTCCAAAGGTCAATGCTCTACCCACTGAGCCAAACTGGTTTTGGCATGCTTAAAGAATTTTTACGTCTAATTACCTTTGCTGGGTCAGTTATATCTTCAATTCCCGACGGCAGATCATCACCAGGAGGACCATCATCACCACTGTGTCCATTTACAGAAGCTAATTCCCTTCGCAGCTGAATAAACTGTTCACCAGTTAGAAGATCTCTAGGCAAGTTATTCTGCACATGCTCTTTAAATCTAAAGGAAGACAATAAAAATATATGCTGTTAATTCCTATCTCACATTACTCTTTCAAAGGACCTCTGACTTAAAGAAATCAAAACACAAAACTCTTTCTTCTCCCTATAGTAAAAACCTACTACTTGATAAAACAGTCTATAAACATCTTCATTTTCTCCCTGCCTTTGTAACAGAACAGAGAAGGCATGCACAGGCATAAATTCAAATCTGGTTCTGTCCATTGTTAGTTACTTAAACTTTTTTCTTCTCTAAATCTTGGTTTTCTCATCTGTAAAATGGCACAACACCTATTTTGCAAAGTTACTGTAAAATTAAATATAGTTTTCCATATTTAAATTATAAATGACCATTCATAAATGACCAACAAATGTTTGTCTTTCCTTGCTCATCTGCCAATTGTTCCTGAATCCAGGTGTTTGGATCAAACATTCCAACAAAATTGCTCTCAAGTCATGAAGAACTTCTTACATGCAAAATTAAATGGACACCCGTTTCATACCTTGATCCTAATGATGTCTGAAGTATTTAAGGTTGATAACCACACCTTTCTTTTAGAACTTTCTTCACCTTGGCTCTCTAGCTTTCCTCCAAGTCTCTGACTGCCCTTTGAGGGTTCTCCCTTACTTTCTGCACCTAAGTGCATTGTATTCCCAATGATTCCACTATGCATTTTCTCCTATTTTTGTATATTTCTCTGGCCAATATTGTATGAAATAATAAGCATACTATGACTCAAAACTATAGCTCAAGCCCAAACCTTTCTCCTAAATTCCACCTTACTATATCCAATTGCCAACACTCTATACATAGAAATATAGATTAATTTTAAGCAAAGAGTATTTTGAAAAAGACTATTTCATTTTATTCCCATACACTAATTTATATACATACAAATTTTAATTAAAAAAAACAAAACAAAAAAACGGAGAAACCAAGATGGCGGCATAGGGTAGACACCCGAATGCAGCCTACCACAACAAATTTGAATTTAGAACTGAAAAACAGGGGAGGCATTGCCCTGAAGCGCCAGACGGCTGGCTGAGAGGAGGCTCTGCCATCTGGGAAGGAGAGAGAAGGCACGCTGAACCTCAGGAACTGTGAAGGTACGGAGAACTGTGTGCGCGAAAAGGCGCTGGCTTAATCCCGGTGCGGAGAGGAAGGGCCGGACAGAGATTGCTGCTGGCTTACTCCCTGCACGCAGAGAGGGCGGGCCGGGCTGAGTTCGCTACTGGCTTACTCCTGGCGCCGAGAGGGCGAACAGCTAACGCGGCTGGCTTTCTTGTCCGAGAGGAAAACAGAATCACCCTATTGCTCTGATAAACGGCCCCAGACAGGGAGAGGCCAGACTGTCAGGCAGTGGGCAGAGATCTCTTGGAGGTGTGTGAAGCCAGAGGCCATTACTGCGGGACTTGGGGAGGAGCCGAAGGGAAAACAAAGTTTGTCTGCACCAACCCGAGACTCCGCCCTACCTGTGGCTGAGCACAGAAGCTCTCCCAGAGGCTGGCTTTCTCTAAGGAGGGATTTGCTGGAATCCAAAGCTTGTCTGTGCCTTTACCAAAGAGGTGCACGCGCGCCTACAACCAATCTTCCAAAACTCTCCACGAACAGGACTTTTCTAAGGCGAGACTGACAGGAAACCAAAGATTGTCTGCGCCACCCCAAGACCCCGCCCTATTCAAGCAGAGTACGGAAACCCTCCTAGCTGAGACACTGCTGATCCTCACAGCCAATTGGCTTGGAGATCAACGCTTCCCAGTGATACCAACAATAAGCAAGGCTTACCAACAAGACTGCACACACAGCCCACAAAGGGCTACACCAAGACTGTCCACTGCAGGTAACTGGGAAGGCTGTGCTACTGGGCTCTACCAGAACACCTAGCACACAAAGCTATTCCATCAAATCAGGGAAACAACTAAAATGCAGACAAGAAGAAGGACACAAAGGAAGGAGATGGAGGAAAAGAAAAGATTGGACATTGAGTTCAAAACTACAGTTATAAGGTTATTCAACAATATACTAAAAAAGGCCGATAAAATAAATGAGACCTATGAGGATATGAAAAGGGAGCAACTAGAAATAATAAGGGATCAACAAGAAATGAAGAAAACATTGTCTGAAATAAAAAATATTATACAAAGTCCTAAAAACAGACTGGAAGATCGCAAGAATCAAGACAAAGATTTAGAACACAAAGAGCCAGAGGACACTCCTCTGCAGAAGGGAGAAGATAAGAGAATCCAGAAAGTTGAAGATAGTGTAAGAAACCTCTGGGACAATTTCAAGCGAACCAACATCAGAATTATGGGGATTCCAGAAGAGAGAGAGCAAGATACCGAAAGAATACTAGAAGAAATAGTGACAGAAAACTTCCCCCACCTGGGGAAAGAAATAGACTTACAAGTCCAGGAAGCCCGCAGAACCCCAAACAAAAAGAATCCAAGGAGGACCACACCAAGACATATCATAATTAAAATTCCAAGAGCAAAAGACAAAGAGAGAATATTAAAAGAAGCAAGAGAAAAGCAGGTAGTGACCTATAAAGGAGCACCCATAAGATTGTCAGCTGATTTCTCAACAGAAACCATGCAGGCCAGACGGGAATGGCAAGAAATATTCAAGGTGATGAATAACAAGAACCTACAGCCAAAAATAATCTACCCAGCAAAGCTATCACTCAGAATCAAAGGACAGATAAAGAGCTTCACAAATAAAAAAAAGCTAAAAGAGTTCATCACCACCAAACCAGAATTATATGAATTGCTGAAGGAGGTTATTTAGGAAGAGGAAGAAGATAAAGATAAAAATTATGTTCAACAAATACGTAGCTATCAACAAGTGAATCTAAAAACCAAGGGAATTTAAAAATCTGATGAACAATATTAACTGGTGAATATAATAGAATCAGAGGTATGGAAGGGGAGTGGACTGACGATTCTCAGGGAAAAGGGGAGTGGGGGTGCGGGAAGAGACTGAACAAAAACTGTGCACCTATGGATGAGGACAATGGGAGATGGGGAAAGGACAGAGGGTGGGGTGGGAACCTGGTGAAGGGGAGCAATTGAGGGGGGGAAGAGGATCACATTTGTAATAATCTGAACAATAAAGATTTATTAAAAAAAAAAACAAACAAAAAAAAAACACGCAAACACGCATTTGAGAAGCTAAATATCTATACCATCTCATTTTGGAAACATATACAAAAATGTCTTAAACTAAGTATGTCATCTTCATCCAAAAATCAACACGCTTGGCATTTCTAATCGTGATTAAAAGTAATGCCAACAAACAAGTTTCCCATTCAGAACTTCCCACCTAACTTAATACTTAATATTGCACTGAATATCAGGTCTTAATGATTCTACCTTCTAAATAAATCTTCTTAACTTGCTCAGTTTTCATCTAGATAAACATAAACTGGTCTTCTAGCCCCTAGTCTCACAATTTGCATACCCGAACCAATACTATTATCAAAAAGTAAAATGAATTCTGGCCAGATAGCTCAGTTGATTAGAGCACCATCCCCATATGCCAATTTTCTAATTCAGTTCCCTATTAGGTCACATAAACAACGAATGCATAAGTGCAACAGCAAATTGATGTTTTTCTCTCCCATCTCTCTCTCACCAATAAATATAATTTTTTTTCAAAAGACATAGTAAACATGATCATAAGCCCCTCCTGCCAAAATAATTTAAGTAGGTTTATCCTATTGTCAAGCTAAAAATCTAACCTCTTAAAGTCTTTCAGATTTTTATCCAGCCTTTGACTCAAACCTATCTCTTCAATATAATTATTAGACATGGCTTTACATGTGGTTGTACATGTATCACATATTCCAACATTATGAATTTTTCCCCAAGTTTCTAAAAATTAATTTAGGCTACTAGCATCTGTATTTTTAAACTTTAACAAATGTATGTAAATGACACCGAAAACTAATTTAAATTATGCAGTCAATAGATACAAAACTCAACTTGACCCAGTTCACCAATGGAAGGAAAAAATTTAGAATGTCTTAATTTTATTATATATTTATCTTTTAATTAATTTTAAAGATGAAGGGAGAGAGAAAGAGAGACACATCAGTGTGAAAGAGAAGCACTGAGCACCTGGCTGCCTCCTATATGAACCCCATCAAACCTGCAACCTGGGAATGTGCCCTGATCTCCTCACATCAGTGTTTCTCTTTCTCACTCCTTTTCCTCTAAGATCAATAAAAACATATCCTCAGGTGAGGATTAAAGAAAAAGACAATGGCTGGCTGTTTAATATACATTGAGCCCTATTCCTAGGTATTAAGAATAAAAAGAATTCATAAGGCTCAGAAACTGACAGACATGTAAGGACACAGGAGACCGAAATGTTATTAGTGCTAAGAAAAATATAAATAAATAGATATAGAGTGGTGGCACAAATGACAAGATACTGTTTAGGTGAATTGGGAAAGTTTCCCCAAAGAAAACATTGAACTATAAGTGCTTAAGAAAGATGACTTCACCAAATAGGAAGTAAAAAATGTATGATTACAGTCCTAAAAATATAAAAAACCATCTTTTAGAAAATTATCAGTACACAAGTAGGTCTAGAGCTTAGGACTACCAAAAATTAGGTCTGGGAAGTTAGATAACGTTATGAAGTCCTCATGCTAAGGAAGATTTTAAATTAGGTATTTTCTTAAATGTAAATCTAATATTTAAACCTACACAAATATTTCTACTGCAGAACTTAGATTACTATTTTAACATTTTTTTCTCCTAAACTCCTGAGCAACATGATAGCCAAGATGACTCACAAAGCTGATTTAAGCCTTTATTCCTATAACTTAAAAGGCATATCATCTGTTACACAAGTGCTATATAAATGACTTTAAGTGGGAAGAGCATATTCTGCAAAAGAAAATATTTCAGTGGTTCGCAAAGCAGAGAAGTTATACTTAAATTTATTTTACAAGTATAAGATTTATTCACATAAACACTATTTGTGAGTTTGCCATA